ATTAATAAATGTAAGATGCGCAATGCGAAGCATTAGGTAATTACGTATGTTATCATCGATATCTTTATATAAAAAAACTCAGCACAGTGAGACCGTAGCATAGTTGGGTCTAGTATAGATGATAACTGACATTGATTAAAAGAAGTATCATAAAAAAAGCTTTGATGCAAATATGTAGATAGTGTTTAATTTTAAAAAATTGGTGGATTTTTCCAAAAGAAACATGATTTTCTATTTCCTTATTTACATCCTGATTACAAGTATTATGATTTATAAGTGTAATATATGAATATATATATTTATAATATATAAAGGGAAAGGGTCCGATTAAAAAAAAAAGTATATTGCTTAAAAGAAGAATATAAATAGTACTTATCTTACAAAAATTATAATGATCCATACAGTTTTCAAAAGTTTTAGAATTTTAAAGTTAAAAATATAAAATCGAGAATTTTAACTCAAAAATAGCATACGATAGCCATTTTCAGCGTGAAGACGAAATAAAGTCCGAAATTTTTTTATTTTTTTTATAATAAAGTATATTACATAAGCTTTAATTTAAAGTATATATAAAAGTGTCAGTATTTCCGGAATACTTTTAAAAGTTAATTTGAAAAAGTTGTCATTTATTAACGTCCCCTGTGGACAGGTAAAGAGTCAGATTTATACAACAAATTATATCAAATAATAAGTAAAGACATTGTGCAACTATAAAAAAAATATTATATTGATTTGGTCATTTTTGAAAAAGTTATGACAGATTTAAGTAAAAATAACTGAAAAAATGTCAAAAATTAGCGATTTTTAAATTTGTAATTTTTTGAAGATTTTCCCAATTTAAGGGGAACGAGGGAAATTTTTTCTATTTTTGAGAAAAATGTCTTCGATTAGATGCGATATGTGATCATTTGACGTATATTGTTGAAAGAAATCCGTTCGGTGAGAGCTGAGAAAAAGTGGTAACAGACACAAAAAAATAAAAAACACATCATAGTAAAATTAATACATTCTCAGCTACGCATCGAAGCTAAAAAAAACATGTGTATTTAACTGAAATAATGTAATTACAATTAATCCACTTCATTCTACTTAATCCTACTTTAATTAATTAATAAAAAAAAAAAATAACTGAATTTGACTTGTCTCCTCTATATAAATGGTCATCAAATATTAATGGAAATAACATTTAAAACATTATAGGAAGCGCTTAATAAAATAAAATCTATCCATAAAATCAATTGAAACGCTTTAAACTATGTGAAATGAATTAATTTAAAGACTATAAATATACACTGGAGTATATAAAGAATAATTTGAGACAGTAACATGAGTAAAAGAGATAAGCGAGACAAGGAAAAACAAGGTCTTTATCTCTTATATAATATGCCACAAACGGCACAAAACGGAAATTGGGCATTGAATTTTATTTACAAGATCCCATTGTTCTAGACATTATAAACCGCTAAAGCCTGATTTTTCCATTTCCGGATGGCAACTTAGGCACACTTATTAATTTTTCTTCGCCTTTATAAGTTATTACTATTAGTAATCTATCAACTAGCTCCTTATTTGTTAATGAGGGCAGAAATTTTTTATCCCAATGAATAGTTATAGCATCCATGTTGATTAAAAAAAAAGAATGTTAACTTCATTAGCATAATCTTTTCGAAAATTTTCATGAAAACGATGCATCGAAGAGTGATTAATGATTAAATCAATTACATTATGACCAAAAATTCAGCTGTAGCTGTTAGTATAAATACCGCATCTCTAACAAATAATTTACAACGGTCCAATGCTGCTTCTAGATTTTCTGTCATAATATATTTCTTCGCCCTTATTCTTTTAGTCTTTTCAGAACTATGAATAACAACTGATTCTAATGACGGGTTGTATAACGAAATTCAACAATACTACTTAATAATTGAAGTTCAACAGTCTTAATTAAAAATTTTAATGATTATTACTAATAATGATTATTTTTTATAATGGTTATAAATATTCCAAAAATTTACTTATATTGTTCTTTCTCTTTTTCAAATTTTTCATTTTCGATTAATTTCTTTTGCAAGTTGACAAGAACATTCATCATAATTCACATCAGAACAATCATTTTTACTCGTACTTTTTTAATAATCTTTTTTCTTTTGGTTATTTAAATATAATTTAGTTTCTTCATAGTCAATTGAATCCCATTGCGCTGCGCTACAGTATCGATGTGATCGGGCTCTACAGAACTACGAAATGTCGGCACGAGCGCAGTCTCCCTAGTTCGGGGAATCGGACGCGTACTCAGGTTGAGGATAGAGGAACGACCTGCAGATATGCAGTTTAGCCGCGAAATAAGCAGTCCAATTATTTAGACTGACAAATAAACAGTCGCGGACAGCCAGTCGCACAGAACCTCGTTATTCCTGTATATATACAGATGTTGTGATACCATTTATCGCTCTAATTTAATATTATTCGCAATGGTATCACAAAATAAAATAATTATCTTAAATTAATATGATAGCATAATCACTAATGTAATTAATACAATGTATGTATTTGTTCAGTTTAAGATTAATATTTGTACCATAAATGTAAACACTGTAAATTAATCTACAAAGACAATGTATTAAGTAACAGTATCCCTAAGAAAAATCAAATGTACGATATCCAATGTAACATATTATCCCTGCTTATAACTTTCATTTCAATAAAGATAAGAGCCCTAGTGGTCAATTCTTACATTTTGGTGACATATATAGATCATAGATTGCATATAAAAAGTCGTAAAAAGCAATACAAATTTCTCATTCCACTTTTCAAGCCAAAAGTCAAATCTAGCAATTGACCACTAGTCTCTAAAATATTCAAAAGAAAAATTTGTCAGTGTTCATTTAAATTCTGCAGAAAACATTATAAAGTAGGTAATACATTGTCATTCCAATAATTTGGAATTATTTAATCCGAGAAAAGAATGACAAAACAATAATAATTAACTTATCTTTTCTCATTCAAATTTATTAACTGGTTTGTCAGGAGAATTATTAAATGCGTTCGAAGTACTTGACCTAAAATCGTACCTATGCAATTTCTTATTACGTTTCATAGTTTGCCGACCTAAGCTCGTACCCTTGAAGCGTAAGACTATTCAAATGATTTACCAATTTTTACAAGTTTAGTACATACATTAAATTTCAATACTCATCATAACCCCTTTATCTGATTGTATTGTCATCCTCTAAACCCTCGGACTCCACGAACCCAATGAAATTAAACAAACTGAATTATAGTAACCGAAAGTAAGATAATTATATTTATTCAAGTGCTCAAAAATTCAAATTAATTAACCAACATGTGGTGTTGGCTATACCCCTCGCTTTTGTAAAAGATAAAAAAAACAAACTAATGATAAGATTATATTGTATTAAAAATAGTTATAAAAGATGTTTAAGCAATAAACGGAATATTAAAATTAAACTTGCATTCTTTATTTTCTAATAAGCAATGGTTTGAGAATAAAGGTTACAAAATTGGCGACGAAGATCGGATATTGAATGATTTAATTAATAAAAAATTACTTCAAATAAAATAGATACAGTTAACAACCACGTCATGTCAAAAATTGGGAATATGGAAGAATTTAAACTTCATGAAGAGGATTTCGAGACTTGGGTAGAAAAACTCGAATTAAACATGGCAGTGAATAAAATAAAGGAAAATAAAGTTGGTATATTCCTAACATTAATTGGAAGTGAAGGCTATAAAGTATTAAAGTCTCTGTGTACAACAGCATTGCCGAAGGACGTGATTTTTGAAAAATTGGTTAGTAATATGAAAAGTTATTTACAACCCAAAGTGTCAGTGGTAGCTGAAAGATCTAAATTCCGAAATAGTTTACAACTGATCAACGAATCAATCACGAAATTCGTCACCAAATTACAGAAACTATCCATGTTGTGTGATTTTGGAAACAATTTAGAGGAAGCTTTAAGAGATCAAATTGTACATGGAGTAAAAGATAGAACTTTAAAAAAGAAACTGTGTGAAGAACCTAACCTAACATATGAAAAAACTAAGGAAATCTGTCAAGCATATGAAGGTGCTGAAGAAAGTTTAGAAACTTTTCATCAAGCAAACAATGAACTAAGTCAAGAGGAAATTCATTTTGTTAACAGAAAGTTCAAACAAACAAATCAATACCGGAGTAGCAAGATTACTATCAACGAAGGAGTTGCAAATTGTACTTGTTGCGGTAAGAAGAACCATATAATTAATAATTGTTATTTTAAAGACCGTAGTTGTGATGTTTGTCATAAAAAGAGACATTTAAAAAGGGTTTGTTATTATAAAGATAAAACTGACAAAGGTCAACCAAAGTCTGCACACCATTCTAAATTTAAAAGTAAAAATTATAGTAATAGTTATATTGGTGCAAATGATAGACAAGTTTCTTCTAATAAGGTTAATAAATCTAATAATTTTTTATACACTGATAGCTTAGATATTGATACTTTATTTCAAATTGAACAGATAGCTACTAAGAATGATAATTTATTTATTATGGTACAAATTGAGAATGAAGCGGTAAAAATGCAATTGGATACAGGATCAGCTATTTCAGCAAATTCTTTAATAGAATATAAAGAATATACTTCTCGTTACTCGTGTATTCCTGAAGCATTTGCTTTTCATGGTTTCTATCAACATAATTGTATTTTTAATTCACATGGCTCACTTTTAGATTTAGTGTTCAGTAATGTTCCTGATATATCTGTCAGCTTGGCTCCCGAGCCATGTGTTCCTATTGACCCATATCACCCGGCTCTCAATCTCTCCCTTCCAGCTACTCACCAGTTTTTTAATTCCTCTTTACCCAAAACTTTCTTCAACTTCAATTTGGCTAATTATTCGAGTATTGCACAATTTTTGAACTCCTACAATTGGAAGTCAACTTTTTCCTCTTNAAAGAGTTATTAAAATAATTTAATTAAATATAAATAGATATTTGTTTAGTCGACTTCTATTTCGGACAAAGAAACACGAAGTAGGTGACTTAATGTTTCATCTGTAAGTCGATTTCTATGCTTTGATTTAATATGTTTCATGTTTGAAAATGTACATTTACAAATGTAAGTAGTCCCAAACATGGATAACATTTTTAATGCAAATTCTCGTAAAAGTGGATATTTTAAAATAGGTAGTTTTTTCCAGAAGCTTATGTCAATCTCTTTTGTAGATAATAATAATGGATCTGTTTGCAACTCACATAATTCTAATTGAAGTTCAGCATCTTGCTTTCCAATTTCAACTGCCATTGGATTATTAAACAAATTTATTTGAGGACGCATAATTTCAATTTCTTCAAATCGTCTTTCGAATTCTACAGTGAATTCGTCCAGGTGGGTAATGCAATGTTGAAAATTAAACTCATCGTTCAATTCTATTTTTATAATTTCGCAACACGGAAAATGAATTAGTTTTTTTTCAACAACTAAATTTTTAAAAACTACCAATTTTTTTCTGAATCCATCTAAAAATTCAATAATTTGAGAAATTGTTTGTTTTTTACCTTGAAGTTGTAAATTTATTTTATTTAAGTGTTGAGAAATATCAGTTAAAAATGCCAATGAACATAAAAATTGTTTATCAACCAATTGGTTTTCCAAATACGTAGTATCAGTTTTAATATTTGTTTTAAGAAACTCAAATATTTCTTTTCTCAAAACAAAAAAACGTTCTAGACACATTCCACGACTTAACCAGCGTACATCCGTGTGTAATAGTAAATCACCATACTCACAATCAAGTTCCTCCAAATATGTAATAAAATTATGGTGGTTTAAACTACGGTTGCTACGGTAATGAGATTAGTAATTTTAAAAACAGTATTCATAACTCCGTCAAGCTTCATTTTTTTCCCACACAACGCTTCCTGATGAATAATACAATGTATAGCAGGAACATTAACGTTAAATTTGCGTAATAATCCAAAAAAACCAATATTTTTGCCAATCATAGCTTTGGCAGCATCTGTCACAACCGATGACATTTTTTTAAATCCACCAAATGGTTCAATTGCGTTTTTTACTGCATTAAATATATCACTTCCTTTAGAAGTTTCATGCAAGGAACATAATTCTAATAGCTTTTCATACACTTCAAACTGTGGAGATATTACTCTAAGAAATATCAAAAGTTGACTTACATCTGAAACATCTGTGCTTTCGTCCAATGCAATCGAAAAATATGCACAATCCGTCATAATAATTTGCAACGTCTTATGAATGGCACTATCAATATCAGCAGACGACGTGTCACTGTGCGCCTTGAAAGTGAAATTTTTTCAAATTCACTGGCAATTTTGTTTTCGTTAATTGATTTAGCCATTTTTACTGCACAATTTTTAACAAATTCACCATCACTCAACGATTTTTTAGATTTTGCTATTTCGTTAGAAATTATATATGAAGCCAATAAACTTGATTGTTGTGAAATTGTTGCTTTTGTCATCACATTTTGTTGTGATTGAAATTTTCTTTTGAGATCAATTACAACACTCTCTCTTGCATCACCAATGAATTTTTCATATTTGGACAAATGCTTTGTCATGTAATGTCTTTTAGCTTCGATGCGAAGCTGAGAAGGTATTAATTTTACTATGATGTGTTTTTTTTTTTTTTTTTTTTCTGTATACACTCAATCTCATCTCTCACTGAACCGATTTTGATGAAAAATATGTCAAAAGATCACAAATCATATCTAGTTGAAGACATAACCCTCAAAAGTTGAAAAATATTCCCTCGTTCTCCGTAAACATAGGAAATCCCCCAGAAAATTACAAATTTAAAAATCGCTAATTTTCGATATTTTTTCAATTTTTTTTACTTAAAATTGACATAACTTTTTTAAAAATGACCAAATCAATATAATTTTTTTTTATAGATACCTTAGATAATTATCTATCATTTTATATATTTTTTTTAACATTTGACTCTTGACAAGCCTACATCAAGGGGTTTCAAAATGGTAACTTTTTTACAAAAAATTAACTTTTTTAACTTAATTTTTGAAAATGTTCCGAAAAGATTGACACTTTTATATATACCTTAAATTAAAGCTAATGTAATATACTTTAATTTAAAAAAAAAAAATTTGACCTCTAGACTTGTCTTCATGTTAAAAATGACTACCGTATACAAAAATATGCTATTTTTGTGAAAAAATTCTTAATACTATATTTTACATTTTTTAACATTATGTTGCTGTAACTTTTTAAAAAATGCATGAATCAATTTTATTCTTGAATAATAAATACTTTATATATATATATATATCTTTCATTCGACACACTCTTTTTTAAATCGCACCATTTCCCTTTATACAGGGGGGGTGCGAATTTTTAAAATGCGTATAGAAAGTAGAACTTTTTCAACTTAACTTTTGAAAATGTTCCAGAAAGACTGACACTTTTATATATATCTTAAATTAAAGCTTATGTAATATACTTTAATTTGAAAAAAAAAATTTGACTTCTGGACTTGTCTTCGTGGTGAAAATGGACATCAAAGTTAATGAAAAACGTACGATTTCCATGAAAAAAATTCTCGATTTTTTATTTTATTTTATTTAATTTATATTTTATATAACTTTTGGAAAAATGTATGGATCAATATAATTATTTTTTTATAGTAAATTTTTATATATCCCTTTCATCTGACACGCTTTTTTTGTAAATCGGATCATACCTCTTTATACAAGGGGGGTCAAAACTTTAAACATGCGTATTGTTACTAGGACATTTTCAATTTAATTTTTGAAAGTATTCCAGAAATACTGACACTTTTATATATATCTTAAATTAAAGCTTATGTAATATACGTTAATTTGAAGAAAAAAGAATTTGACCTCTGGATTTGTCTTCATTGAAAAAATGACTACCGTATTAAAAAATTTGCTATTTTAACACGCTTATATTAGTTTCACGTGTATGTTGTTTGTTTGTTGTTTGTAAGTTTGTAACTCCACGCGGCACGTGTTATTATGTCGCGTATCCCGTCGTGTATGACCTTGAGACTATACTGTTGTAACGCATTCGCCCCACCCCGCTCACCACTCGTAGAGAACAATATTTTCCAACCCGTAGACGCGCGCTTATCATCAATTATATATATATAACAAATTTTTATTGTAATTAACAAAACCCCGCGTCGTTTTACGCCGCGGTGCAAAGTCCAGCAAGTGCCGCACGGCCGACGACGTCCCGCCGCTATACCGTAGTCTTCTTCCCATTGTCAAAATAACATCGTCAACAAACTGATCCGCACTCGCGCACCGTCGTCATCTACGCTGCTAATCTATTGACGCCCGAGGATCACGCCGGACATCGCGTCTTCGACGCCAGCAAAAGTGCCGCGATATTATGCGAAGATTATATATTCCTACCGCCACCGCTAATATTAATATATATATTAATATTTATACGTATATGTTAATATTCATTTATATATTCCTACAGCCGACGCCTCTGCCGCCGTATATGCCTTGTGTATAATGTTCCCTCCGCCATGCCCGCCCACATAAACACGGCTATACCTCATGCATGATACGTTTACGTACTTAAGTCCCTTTAAATATATATATATTCTAATTACTATTAAAACTTATATATTAATACACTTTATTCTCATTAAGAGATATATAGTGTATTCATTCCGATTACGGAGGATGATTCTCGTATCGTTATTTTTCGTCACTACCTCCACGTTACGCGCCTGCTGCTTTCCTTGGATGTGGTAGCCGTTTCTTAGACTCCCTCTCCGGAATCGAACCCTTATTTCCCGTTACCCGTTACAACCATGATATTGATATTAACTACTATCATAACATGAAACTAAAAAGTGAAAAATAAATATAGTTTAAAAAAACTAAAAAACACGCTTTTAAAGCACATCGAACTAAAAAGTTAAAAATAATTTTTAAAATTAACTTAAAACAATAATGAACGAAAAATACTAGTATTATTGTGAAAAAAAGCGTCGGGCGCTCAATATACAAAAAATATGGCATAAAGCACCCACGCTTTTTTTCACAATAATACTAGTATTTTTCGTTCATTATTGTTTTAAGTTAATTTTAAAAATTATTTTTAACTTTTTAGTTCGATGTGCTTTAAAAGCGTGTTTTTTAGTTTTTTTAAACTATATTTATTTGTGTTAAAATTCTGGGATTTGTATTTTATTTTATTTTAAAATACCTGACAAGAGGAGTACAGATTTTCATAAATATTATATAAATTAAAATTAATATAGTATAGAAAGTTAAACTTATTTAAATTTGTTTGCTTCTTTTAAGTCGAGAAAAATAACTTTGAAATTTGAATTAGCTTAAATAGCTAATTTTTTCAACCGATGGTAGTGACGTACGGTTGCCGAGTTGGTAAAACTTATGTTTTACACGCTTGGGGTACGAGGTTCCAACCCGCGTATGGCAGTGAATTTTTTCTTAATTCTTTTTAAGTTAGTATAAACTTTTAACTCGTTTGATTTTTATCTCATTTAGATTCAATAACTTCAATAAAGATCAAGGATCCCATCACTTTAGTCGCCCCTTGCAAGAAGAAATTTCTTATTCGTATTAAAATTATTTTACTATNATTCTTATTCGTATTAAAATTACTTTACTATATTTTAAGTTTTAGCTTCGATACAAAGCTGAGAAGATATTTTTTTGTGACTATCATTTATTTTCTCTGCTCTAACTTGACCTACTTTTTTCAACGNTCTAACTTGAACTACTTTTTTAAACGATACGTCAACATGTTCTCTATAAAAACAATTAAAATCATTAATTTCTAATGTTTTCAAAATATTTATTAACGAATGAAGTTTGATATGATAGTGTATGGTACAGAACGCCTTTAGAAGGATCTAGTTGACCAGTTGTTATAAAAATCATTGATTATATTATTTGGTGGGACAGCTGATCACCAGCATCTTGCTTTACTCACCCCCTTGCCCACCCATCACAGCAAATCGATGACCTCCGTGTCGATTTTCATCCATGGACAGTTCATTGTCATAAGTCAGTCAGTCGATTGTTTTACGTGTCACCTTTTTTCTGTTGCAAGCGCCTTCGCTTGAATAGTAAATTATTCGGCCATTGTACGGCATAGTTTTTTATTTCTTGTTTATTGCACCCTTGTGCTCAAAGTTTACGTGCCCTTGCACGCCACTAGTGATTGGGCCCTGACCATCACTAAATATCTTCATTGCCGTAGTCGCCTCTTCGCGGTCTGTTCTCATCTGCCATTACGTACCTGGATTTACACTCTGACTCGTCATACTCAGATGTTCGACACCATTACCACAAGATCTCATACAGTCCACCCATCATCATCAACAGCGTCATCTATACAGCTGAGTTTTATATTATTTTTAATGTTAATTATTGTTTGTTCTAATTGAGATTAACTATATGTTTTAAGCCGCTTCGCCGGCCACTAGTATTTAAGGGTCCCCCCGTTACCCCTTAAATTTAAGATACTCTCTGAGGAATTTCTAATATATGTGATTATTTGTTATTTAATTATTGTCTACTCTCGTTTACTTATTGGATTTATAGTTAGCCGTCATCTCCTAGGTCAATCAATATTAACGTTTTATTAAACAGGCTTAAGGTAAAACGGCATTCTAGTGCGGTGCACAACTAGCTGTCCTACGGTCTAGCTGCCTCGTACGTATCAGATAGGTTTCAAATACAAAATTAAATCATTTTACTTTATAATTTAATAATTTTTTTATTTTATTTGTGTGTGCTACTACTAGACTATAATATTTCAAATTTTTTGGTAACATGTTGCTATATATATCATTTCTAAAAAAAATGATTGTAAGTTTCTCCTGAATTAACAATGGATTTTTACAATTATAATCAAATTTTATAATACGCTGAATTGAGTAAATCTTTTTAACCATTTTGTTTTAGTTAAAGTAAATCATTAAAATTTATTAAGTTCTGAATATTTCAATTTCAGAATCTTTTCAAATACCAAAAGTTACTAGGAAATTATTACTATTACTTCTATTTAAGTTATCTATTACCATAAAAATGCAAAAAAATAATGAGTTTTTCTGATAAATATACTGTAAATAGTAATTATAAAATTTCCTGACTGCATATTAATCTTAAAAATAACATTGTTTTAATTCTCATAAAATTTTCTATTTAAAGATTCATTCTAGTCAACGAATGAGTAATTTTGGAGAATAGCAGAAAAAATTCCCAACCAATTTTTTTTTTTTTTTAAAATAGGCAATTGGTGGATTATTCCAAAAGCAACATCAACTCTTATTTCTTTAATTATATCCTGATTAGTAGTTCTTTGATTTTAAAATATAATATATGAATAAATACTAATTATAGTTTTTAAATTTAGTATGAAATTGATATTTAATAATTTAATATTGTAATTTAAACGGAAAAACTATAAAAATAATAAAGAAGTTATATTTTGCTTTACTTTTACGTGTATAAAAATTTAAAGGGCTTGATACAATAATTATCAATAAAAACTGTTTGTTACTATAAATGAATGCATTGGACTTCAAGGA